CCTCAGCAAAAACCTACACATCAGTGCACTGTTCCTGTGCTGCAAGTGACATTATTTGGGCAGAATAGGAAGTGTTGATTTAGATCTCAGTCTCTACCCACACAGAGCTGCTGAAGCCAAGCCACTCTGCAGTTGCCTTTGTTCAGAGAATGTCTAGGACAAAGCAACTGTGAAGGCACCACAATGGCTCTTCAGTGCCACTCTCTGGAGAACATGCACATGTCCAGGGAATCTATGTGAAATGCTGGGCTGCTGAATTAGGATTTCAGCTCCTGCTCGAAAGCTTTTTCATTCTGGCTTATTCCTAACTTAGTAGTCTAAAGAGCCAGAAGCATCCAATCTACATGAATGTCTTGCTCCAAGATGAACAACAATTCTTAAGACTTCTGTCTTCCCTCCCCATCCCATACCCAAGAAAATCCCACCCATACCACACTGGAAGACAAAGGGTTGAGATGATACAGTCTGTCTTTTGGAAATACACTAAAGGAACAATGTTTTGTATGGTCATTTTATAAGAACACAGCAGTTCTTAGAAGTTCATTCCACCACATTTTTTCCACGTTACCAACACTGATAATGTCTGTTCCTTCTCAGCAGGGACACAGCCTCTATTTTGCTTACTCTGAGGGATAAGCTGTAAGCACAGTTAGATGGTATCTTGTCAACCAAGTCAATTCCCTTCTACTACTTACAGTTTTTCTTCCAACTGTGCTACTTTTCCTTTTGAATGCTCTAGATTCCTTTGCACTTCCTGCAGCTTCATTTCCATGTTTTCCTGCTTTGCAAGTGCAGTCTTAAAAAAAAAGACACATATTAACATTAAAGTGAGATTTAGTAAAAAACACCAAATCCATTGGGTAAGAGACGGTGGTAAATTGAAACCAATTCCTCACTACAGTTTAATGATAGCACCTGATATTATGCTAAATGTGATTCCAAGTATCCCTCTGTAAAGATATCAGCCATTTATTAGAACAACCACTATCACCAGAAAAATACAAACATAGGAGAGCTTCAAAATAAACTTACAATCACAGGTTTTCAAAGAGATTCCTAGTGTGACCAGACTGGTATTAATAATAGCATAAATAATAATACCAGAGGTATTTCTATGCTTCTTTACTTGAACTCAGATTTACTCTGCAGATCAGCAAAATCAAGAACATTAATCAGTTGACCCTTCCCTATTTTCACCCTACAGAAAGTAGACAAAGTTACCAATTTGAGGCCAGAAAGAATACATGATCTGAAGTTCTGTGCTAAGCCCTTCATTCTTTGTTCCTGAACAGCTCAGAATTGCTGTCCTGTGCAGCACAAATGGTCCTACCTTTTCCTTAGCATCCCTCATGTTTCTGAGTTTCATTAACTCCATGCACAGGCTGCTCATTTTCTTTCGCACACCATCTTCAGACAGCTTGTTAGAGAAGAACATAAAATTACTAAGCATAACTCCTCCACATGAATTGCTCTTCACAAAATCCTTTCAAAGTGTTCCCCTCCCACTCTGTGTTTAGAGAGAAGTGGACAAGATCCCAAACCAGACATGCTCCATCCCTGTGCCAATGAAGGGGGCACAGGGAATGTCAAAACAGATGCTGATTAGCAGCTAAAGCTTCCTCCTACACAGGGAGCTCGATAACAGCAAGGACAAAGCAAATATGCAGTTATTTGTCTGAATACCTTTGACTTCAGTAGTTCATTGCTTCTTTTTAGTTCCAGAAGCTGTTTTTTTAGGCATGCAACAGTTGCTGAAAGAGATGTTTTCTCCTGAACTGCAGCACTCAGCTTTGCTTCAGTCTTCACAAAATCCTCATCCAGAACCTGAAGTCTTTTATCCTGCTCCCCACGCTCTCTCACTAATGCCCGAATCTAAAACAAGAGTTATTTTCTTTAGTTCCTACTATCATTTCTCTTAACAATGTCATTAGTTTAGTCTCTCCAAGAAAACCACAGGCAAAAGTATCCAAACGGTATTAACTTGCATATCTATCTTCAACTCTGTCATGCACAGGAAAGAGATTAAATAGAGAATTGTAGTGATACTACTCATATACTCTCATGCAAAAGAGGCCAATTCTACCAGCTTGTATTTTTTATTTGGGTTAGTGGCAGATATGACAGGAATGCACCCCATAACACATTCATACCTCCTTCTCCAGTGCCTTCTGTTTCTTTTTCTCCCTCATAAGCGCAAGATCTTTTTTAGTCTTCACAGTCCCATTACCTGGCTTTGGAAACCACTTGTGTTAGAAATAGTTAAATTGACCTCTAGCTGCCCACCAGCTGAACAACACAGTTAAATATAAGACCGGGTGCCTTCATACAGACTATAAAGATACACACACAAAATAAAAAGCAAACCTTTCTCTCCCCTAGACAGCACAGACAAGTATCAGGTTAGGATGAGGTTTACCACTGTACTTTCTCATAAGCATTACTCTGAAGGAACAGCTCACAACAATTGCAACAGGAAGATTAAAGAAGTTGGAGACATTAGCACACCCTGAACTTCATTAAAAAAACATTTTAATCTTTTAACCTCAAGCTTGTTTGCAGAATTTCATCCTGAATCATCAATAGTAGTGCACTAAATTAGTAAGTCAGGGTTATCATTTTTTCAACTTGTTCAGCCATGCATCTTCAAATCCATATCCTTGCTCATGGCATTGAGAACCTGTTCATGCAGTACCATCTCCTCCTTGTTTCTTTCACCACCAGGTTTCTACTCTGCCCTGTCCACCCCATGAAAGCAGGAACAGAAACACAGACTTCTTAAAAAGGAGCGGCCACACCATAATTACATGGTGAGCAAAGGAAAAGAAATCCAAACATTGTAACACCAAAGATAAACCACTCTGTAATCCCAAGTAACCATCACATGATTCCCAAAGATGCTGCAATTTCATTTTTCCTGCTTAGTTACTACAGAATACAGGCACAACAATGTGTTCCATGGTTCTCCTGGGCAGGTTAACAGTAACTGTATGAAGAAGCTACATGGTTTAACCAGTCAGAGGTTTAGCTGGGATTTAACAGTGCTACAGACACCACAAAACAGTCTTACTGTTGATCCAAGGGATGCGAATCTCCTTTTAGTTACAGGGGTGGGTGCACTCTTCTCACTGGTCATCTTTGAGTCACCTGCAGAAAAGAATGGTGAAGGAAGAGGTTGTACAGGGAGGAAAATTTAACCAAACTAGACAAGGTTAATTGACTCTGTGTACTGAAGACACCACCTGGTTATCAGACTACCCACTTCAAGCCCAACACCAGCTGCTTTTTCACTGCAATCAGGCAGTTCAATAATAGTTATCTGGGCCTTCGACAGAGTTTAGAGTGAGATGATCAGATGACAGCCAGATCTGAGAATTCAGCTCCTGCCAAGCTCTCCCCAGCACAATCCAGATCCATGGTGTCCATTTTCAACTGAGGGATACTTTATATACAAAAATCCCCATGAAAACATCACTAAAATTGAGGTTAATGAAGTAAAAAAATAAAGCTGTTTTTAGAGGATGCAGTTGGACATGTTTTTACAGCTGCTGTTCCCTTCAGCTGGAAGGCAGGCAGTGAGTCTGCAGCAGAGACCAACTTCTTAACAGCAGAGCAGCAACAGCATGTAAGCACTGACAATTGTAGCATTCAAAGATATCACACCATTGTGTTTGTTCTGTGCAATTTTCACAACTACTCACTCTTGTGTCTCCCAGCCCCTTGGCATGCTTCAGAGGACAGCAAATTTCTCACTCCACCTGATGGTTTAACACCACAGGATCCTTGCAGGGGGGTACATGCTAGAAATGAGATTTTCAGACACACAAAGAACCACGAAGGTAAACGACAGGGTTTTCAACTTAAACGAGTTGAGGCTAGTAACACATTTAAGTTAAACACAGTTAAAAAGAAAAAAAGAAAAAAATAAACAAACAACTGGAGTCTCAGTTCTCATCCCCCCC